AGCATCCATGTAAAAGGCTAGGTATAGAGCACATTGGTAATTCAGGGCCCAGACAAGCAGATTCCCAGGTGCTCTCTAGGTAGCCAGTGTAGCCAAACTGGCGAGCTCTGGCTTCAGTGAGACCCTGACTCGGAAACTAAAATTACTGCTCCTTTTATTTATTTACTTATTTTCCGAGGCAGGGTTTCTCTGTGTATCCCTGGCTGTCCTGGAACTTACTCTGTAGACCGGGCTGAATTCTAACTCACAGATCCGACTGCCTCTGTCTCCCCAGTGCTGGGATTAAAGGTGTATACCACCACCGCCCAGCTGCAATTACTGCTCTTAGAGAGAACCCAAATTTGATTTTTTGGCTCACAATAGTTTATAACCCCAGTTTCAAGGGTTTCAGTGCTCTCTTCAGAGACCTCTGAGGACATCAGGCATGCCCATCATGCACATACGCAGGCAAAACAATCATACACATAAAATAAAAATAAGTAATTAAAAAAAATAATAAAGTGGAAAGTGATAGATGATGTCAGCCTCTGGCCTCCACATACAAACACATCCATGTACAGCGCACACACTCGTACAGTGCACACACACACACACACACACACACACACACACACACACACACACAGATACACAAACAGGTACAGCACAGCGACCACACACATATTCACATACATTATACAGCAAATTGTTGAAGTGTTTACTTTATGGGAGACACAGGAGCCAGAAAAAATGAGAAGTAGAGAGGCTGGCAGACCAGCAAAGACCTCCCAGGAAGTGGATTTCACAGTCACACCGAGAGAAGTCACAAAGTCACAGAGCGGTCAACAAGGCGAGATGATAAAACAATAAACTCTGTCACTGTTCCTCATGGGAGACCTTGATTTGGGGGATGTGGGGATGCAGGGTGGCTTGGGAAAGAGGGCCGGGGGATGGGAGGAGGGAGGAGGGGGGATCTGTGAATGGTATGTGGAGTGAGTAGAAAATGTCTTAGTAAAGAAAAATGAAAAAAAATAAATAAACTCGGCCTTTGCCGGCACCCAGAAAGCCCCGCCTACTCACAATGGGCCTCTGAAACTGACCTTCTGGATGACTTTGATACCTGGGTATGTGGGACCTGTTGGAAATGTCATCTCTGGATACTTAGAGCCTGGGAAGAGAAATAAAGCTCATTGAACATGACGGCCAGTACAACCTCCTCTGTCCTTTGCTGAGAGACAAAAGTCTTCAGTGGATCTCAGACTCCACCAGGCTAAAGAGCTCCCCAGATCTTTCCTTTCCCTGCCACTCCCTTCTCCCCACCAGTGTGAGGGGTGTGAGCTTAAGCAAGGTACCCCAGAACGGGAGTTGCTGAGGAACACCCTACTGACCCACAGAACCTCAGACTCCTGGTGTCTCCCCAACCCATCATGCACATACGCAGGCAAACCGATCATACACATAAAATAAAAATAACTAAATTTAAAATAATAATAATAATAAAGTGGAAAGTGATAGATGATGTCAGCCTCTGGCCTCCACATACAAACACATGTCTGCCATGGTCTGCCTCCATCTTCAGCCCACCTCTCACCTGTCTCAGAGGTGACCTGCGACCTCCGCTCACTCCTGTCCACCACCACAGGCGCCCTTCACTAGCCAGTCCAGAAGGGAGGAAGCCTCTCCTTGCCAATAGACAATCATTCCATCCACTTCATCCGGTAACATGGATGTCCTCACTTTACTGTAAACCTGTGGAGCTTTTAGCTCCCATGGGTTTACAAAAACTCAGCCTCACCGCAAGAACTTGGGCCAACAGAGACCTATTCACAGTGACCAGTCCATCCAGCTGCCCACCGTGAGGAGCCAGGAATGTGAAACACGTTAATGGTCTGGGTGAGTCGACATCACATGGCTGCAGACTGCATGTCCCCCTCCCCCACCCCTCCCCCACCCCCACCCGGTCCCCCAGCCCTCCCCCATTGCCTCATGCCTTCCTCTGAACTGGTTTTGAGCACTGGTCAAGAGTCAAGGCCTCCTAGGACCCTCTGGGGAATTCCTTGTAGCTCAGAGGCCCCTCTGATGCTTGCCTGTTCCTCCTGTCAGGCCTTGGTCCCCACTCACACCCACCCTCCCAGCACCCTAAATGGGCTCGCTTTGCTCTCCTGCTCTAGCTGAAAGGCCGCTCCTTTCCTCTCCCCAACCCCAGAATCCACACATGGCCCAGGTCCAAGAAACCGTGACCCCGTAAGAGGTCACCATGGTTATGCTCTTTCTGTGACAAGATAAAAATAACAACTCCATGCCAGGTACCCCCCTAGCCCTAACTCTGCCCCATCAGGCTTCTGGAGTCCTCAGTCCTCAGAAACCTCTTTCCTTCCCTCCCCCACCCCTACATTCTTCCTACCCTTCCCTGTTCTCCCGTTGGGGCTCCTATGCCCACAGATCCCTGGAGGAAAACAGAGGGCTGAGGAAGCCTACCTCCCTTGTGAACCCTGGATGAGGAAGTGACTACCAGAGGTCACTGTCTTGGTCAGTTCCTGTTTGGAGAGTAAAGATGCCAAAATCTGTTCCTCTTTCTTATGAAAAATGTAGGGGTTTTGAGAGCCCAAATTCCCAGAACCATTGTTGATGCTGTGAGCTGGCCACGTCTGAAGGATCGATCTGCCAAGGCTTCCTGGGCCTGCTCCTCACGGCTGAGTGGCTGGGGCAGTTCTGGAAATGATGTCTTGTACCCAGGACAGGGGCAGATGCGTTAGGATGGGGCCTGGCTTCAGTCTCCTGTTTTCTCCCAGGGCCCCGTGGGGAACTTACTCAGAGGGGAGTCCCTCTCCTGCCCTTTGTCTGGCTTCTTGGAAGGCCTGGGAGGTTGGGGGGTGGGGTGGGGTGGAGTTGCTCACTGGGACTCAGGCAATGTGGGTCAGTCTGGGGAAACTCCAGGTCCACCCTGCTTTGAAGTTGAAGCCACCCTGCCCTAGCGGTAGACAGTTCAGCAAAAAGCCATCTCTGTCCCTAGCCTTGGACTAGATCACTTTTATAAGCCCCAGCAGAATGACCAAACAGCACCAATTTGTGTGAAATCAGAACCTTCTAGGCAGTCCAGGAGTATTGGGAGTGTGGAGGTGAAGGGGGTGAGAAAGTCGGGCTATATCCATAAGCTGAAATCAGAACCAAGAGCTAGGGTGGGAATGTATGTATTTTTTTTTTTTTTTTTTTTTTTTTTTTTTTTTTTTTTTGGTTTTTCGAGACAGGGTTTCTCTGTGTAGCTTTGCGCCTTTCCTGGAACTCGCTTTGGAGACCAGGCTGGCCTCGAACTCACAGAGATCCGCCTGGCTCTGCCTCCCGAGTGCTGGGATTAAAGGCGTGCGCCACCACCGCCCGGCTGGGAATGTATGTAAATCAGGGTGACACTGAGGTTAGAATCAAGGCCTTCTTGGGAGTGACAGTGACCAGCACTCAGGACCCCACCTTCCTGTCCTGGATCTGGGTAGCAGGTACCCTGTGTATGCTGGCTTGGTGTTGGCTGGCTTTGCCTCTGGCCTATGTTGTTTGTTTGGGCCAGCCCAGTTTCCCCCGGGTCCTTCTCAATCGCTCAACAAACATTTAAGCGGTCTTTGCCGTAAGGTTAACGCTCTACAAGATGGTAGGTCCCCGAAGGCATATGAGATTCAGAGGGTCCCTGCCTTTGTAAAGCTATTATCTAATCAGGAAGATAAACTTCAAAGCACCTGTTCACAATCCAGCGAGAAAGGAACGATCATATAGGCCACGGAAACTGACAGAGTGAAAGATGAATTCTGGTGGTCGGGGAAGGATTCATAGACCATAGAAGCCGTGAGCTCCATGAGCATTTTGTGTGCATGGATGGTCTCTGCTTCCACAACGTGGGGTCCTGAGGTATGAACTCAGATCATCAGGCCCGGCTTCAAGCACCTGTACCTGCTGAATCATCTCACCAGCTCAGATGCTATTATCAGTTGAACCAATCATCCCAAGGGAAACTGGAGAGGGCCTGGATCAGTCGGCCCCTGTTCAAAGCAACCAACGCCCAGCTCCTAGGAAAAGTTAGGTGGGCCCCACCTAGGGTCCTCCATCCACCATCCCACCTCTTAATCCCCAACCTGGTCAACTTTGGTTCAGTTCAGAAGAGGGGAGCTTTCTCAGCTGCCTCTTCAAAGAGTTTCCATCCCCTTCTCTACAGCGCTGTGCAGAGAGGGTTCCAGGTTCGGTGCTCACTTCAGTCCCTCATTGCCCTCCCTCTGTCTCCACCTGAGGGTCTAGCCTCATCCCTTCTACCCCAAAGCGGGAACTCCCTGCCTCAAGGACTTCGAAGTCCAGAGGGAAAGAACCTAGAACATTTGGTGACATCACTGGCCACAGCTTTCCAAAGGCTAAGGCTGGCACCTGTGGGAGCCCACGGCCTGGTGCTGGTCCAGACCTTCAAACCATCTCCTTTGCTGGAGGGCAGAGGGCAGCATCTGGAGGGAGCCGTGGGGGATGGGGGGAAGATGGACCACTGAGCAGGGGGGGCCTTCCCAGAGGAAGGGGACCAACAGGCAGGAGGCCTGGCTGGCCCGGGGAGTCTGCCCCTTCGTGCGCGGTGCCTCTCTCCAATTGTCGCCCCCTCCACCCACCCCCAGCCATCCCCCTCCCCCTCCCTCCTCTCCCTCTCCCCATCCCGGCGGCGCGGAGGACCCAGATGCTGGCGGGGCGGGGCTGGAGCGCTCGCTCGGGATGGGATGGGAAAAGCAGTTCCCGAGGCAGGGCCGGGGCCGAGCACGCGGACCTCGGGCGCGCGCCCCCGGCCCTCCCCGCCGGCGGCGCGTGCCCGGGCTGCCCGAGCGAGCGCGGCGCCGCGGCGGGAGGAATTCCAGCTATTTCCTCTGCGCCGCGCGGTATGTGGCCTGCTCGCCTTCCCGCCGCTCAGCGCCGGCCCCGGTCCCCAGCTGACTGCCAGCTGCCCCCCAAGCCTCGCCGTGCTGCACTCCCCCCCCACCCCCCCGATCCCGGCCAAGCCGCCCCCACGTCCCGGGGCCACTAAACCGGCCTTTCCAGCCGCAGCCTTGAGACCTGTGCCCCTGCGGTGCCAGAACCTGTCCCCAGCCCTCGTGGAAAAGCCGGGGTGGCCACAGCGCCCACGCGAGGGCCGTGCCTCTGGGTCTGGAGCTCCGAGCTCCTTAACCTGGCTCCCAAACCTCAGTTTCCCCCCACCGCGTTGTGCCGTGGTGACCCTGACCCTGGCCTACCTCATCTGGGTTGCGACAAGGTTAAGTGGGAAAAAGAAAGGCAGGGACAAGTGTCAATTGTATTTTTCGTTCCTCTAGGTCATCGCTACTGTTCTTTATGTTACTTCCCTCACACGAGCTTGTGCTGGCCTCTTTCCAGTCTGGCTTGTGTGTGGGACAGTCGAGGCAGGCTTTACTCACAGACCTGTAGGTGGCTGACTCCTGCTGGGCCTGCTCGCGACTGGGTTCTCACTTTTGCGCCCTTTCTCTCTCTGTCTCTCTCTCTCTCTCTCTCTGTATCTCCCCCCCCCCCCCCACTTCCTTCCTTCCTCATTCATTATTTGCATTTGTCAAAGTTTCCCAGGCTGGCCTCGAACGCGTGAGCAGTCCTGCCTCAGTTCCCCCTACTCCTGGAATGACCAACGGTGAGCTACGATGCCCAGCCTGTGCCCTCGGTTTTTGTTTGGTTGGTTTTGTTTTGCTTTGTGTGTGTGTGTGTGTTTGTGTAGCTTTAAAGTTCCGATAGTAGAGTCCCCATTGCTTTTAAGCATTACCCTCTGAACTGCAATCACAGTCTGCAAGGCAGAGAGGTCAGTGACCTCGATGTTTGTAAATGATGTCATTGCCGTCTGCCAGCAGCCGGACAGGTGGCGATGGTTTAGGGAAAATTGAAGGTGCAGATGGCGATCACCGGTCTGCAAACGTGGAGTCGGTAGTTTTGTGTCTGAAAAGATGATTGCCGCACGACCTTCCTGGGACCCTCTCTTCCTGCTACAAAGAAAAGTCCTTGTGGTCTGTTTGGTCTTTAACCCTTCTGAATTGCCGCTGAGGCGACCGACCGTGACTGCCAGGGCGGGCGGGGAGGAAACCGAGACAGGTCCCTGGCCACCCACACCTACCTCACCCCGCCCACAGCCGCTGCAGCTGGGACACCAGGAGTTAGTTGGAAAGCCCCCGGGTTTCACCAGGCCTAACCACCGAGCTCTTGGCACAAGCTGCCCTCCACCGAGGAGCTGCAGTCTGGCCTTTTCCCCTGCCCGCCCTCCATGTAGACACCCCAGCCTGCGTCCCAAGGCCAAGCAGCAGCCCCTTAAAATCGATGTGTGCCCCCGCAGTCCCCACACATGCGGCAGCCACCGGCCGCCTATATCCAGGTGGAAACAGAATCAGAGAGGCAAATGCTATAAATATCCGCGTCCAGCAGCATGCAGCCTGAGCACTGGGGCAGCGGCTCCCCACCCGTGGGCTCCTGGGGCCAGGCACTTCCGGCCATCAGTCTCTCTGAGGTGAGGGGATGAGAATTTCATCAGTATCAGAGGCCTGGGTTTCCTCTCTTTCCCCAAGAGAGGTTTCTTCTAAGGGCCCCACCTGAACCTTTGTCCTCTGCCCTGGGCCTACCTCCCTAACTCACAAGTCCCTTTCCTTCCTCTCTCAATCTGTTCAGACCTCCAGGGTGTGCTGGAGGTGGCCGGGTCTCTAAGAAATGGAGGGTGCTCTTTGAATGGGTGAGAAGGGCAGCGGTGGCGCAGGCCTTTAATCCCAGCACTCGGAAAGCAGAGGCAGGCGGATCTCTGTGAGTTCGAGGCCAGCCTGGTCTATAGAGCAGGATCTAGGACAGGCACCGGAACTACACAGAGAAACCCTGTCTCAAAAACAAAACAGCATGAATGGGTGAGAAATGCCTTTAGTTTAAAAGGGGAGAGGAGGACAGGAATGTAACTCAATTGGTAAAGTGCTTTACTAGCCGGCCTAAGCCCTAGGTTCAAGCTCCAATGCCCCATAAACCAGATGTGGGGGTACACATCTATAATCAGAAGGTAGGAGCAGGAGGGCTGGGATGTTCAAGACCATCCTCTGCTACACAGCAAGGTCAAGGCCAGCCTGGGATACATGAGCCTCTATGTCGAAAAGATAAAATGTGACACTAAATTTCTGATCAGAGGTAGCAGACCTACTAGGGCCAAAGCTTTGTAAAGTATATGTAAAAAAGGGAGGTAACTCCACCAGAAAATGAGGGCTGCTTGCCCCAGCAAGCTGGTGGCAGTTTGGTGGGACTTTCTGAACTGGCTCTGCTAGGTCTGGAGTCTGGTGAGACACAGTCCATGCCATTCAAGAGGGTCCCGTTTTTCTCTCAGCTCCAACAGAGGGAAAACAGGAGTTAGGAAGGGCCACCACCGAGGCTCGGGGACCCAGACACCGTTTTTCCATAGGGTGTTCAGCAGCCTGCCGGCTTGGAGGAAGGGCTGAGGGAGTTGGGCAGCTCGAAGATAAATAGCATGGCTCCACAGCACCGGTCTTCAAATGGGGCTGCAAAAATAAACTTTAACTAGATAAGTAAATCCCTATTTAAAGGAGAGTGGGTAAGTCTTCTAAAAATACAGTCTCATCTCTCCTCCGCTGTGAGAGCTGGCTCTAGACAAGGCTGGGGGAAGAAAAAAAACCACTGCGAGCATTGAATCCTCCCGAGAAGGTACTGTTAACTCCCCATGTTACAGAGGTAAAAATGGTACAGAGGTAAAGATGAAATTCTAACCCTTGGGAAGCTGAGAGAAGAGAGTGGCGATGAGTTCTAGGCCACCCTAGGAAACAGACTTTGAATTAGGGAAACAGAGAGAGAGAGAGAGAGAGAGAGAGAGAGAGAGAGAGAGAGAGAGAGAGAGAGAGAGAGAGAGAAACTTGAGGGGATTGCTGCTGGGGGACACACAGGCTAAGTAACTTCTGATGGACACTCAGCTAGCAAGGATACCTGAACCCCAGCATCTTGTTCCAGGGCCATGTGTTGAGGATAGTAGCCCCGACTGTTTCTCTAAACTGGAAAGGACTCCCTGAAGTCTTTGGCTGTCTTTCACGAGGACAACCTTCCTGTCGCCAGCAGCTGCCTCTAGCAGACCCACCTGTAAGCGGATCCCTGCTGGTGTTATACGAGGAAGTGAACCAGAGTCAAGAGATAAGAATGAAAACCCAGTACAGACCGACTTCACCTGGATCAGACTTCGGGGCGTCTAATAACAGGTGGTTTATTCCCAGGGTATTTAAGCCCAGTACAATTTGAAAAGAAGTTTCCTGGTGTGATACAATGCCCGGTTCACAAGGAAATGTGTAATTACATTGAAACTCAGCTCAGGGTACATGCCATTTCCTCCAAAAAGAAGGGTTCTAGAGATACACTACATGTACTAGCTAAAGGGCCTAAGGGTCTGGCCTGGTCTCAGTCGTACAGATAGTGTAGAACTCATTTGGACTATTAGCCACCTCTGGTCCTGGATGCCGGGAGCTCGGGGGAGCCTCTGGCTATAAGGGTCATTTAGATTACTAGCCACCTCCCGTCTTGGTTGTAAGAGCTTGATATGGCCTGGCCCAACAGATAACACAGATCACCCGACTGTTAATCACTTCCAGTTCTCGGCTTTCTGGATGGAAGAACCGCTTTTTCATCTTTCCCACTGGAAAGACGGTCCTATGTGCTGAACATTCCTGGTTTCTCTGGAGTTCTGTGGGTTCAAAGACCTTCACGCTATGCATCCCAGTCTGACTGGACCATAGTCACTGAACCTGATGGCTTTCCAGGAGAACCCGGGAAACCTGCTCTGTAGCCACGGCGTGTGAAATAAAATGTCTCTCGTAGCAGAATTCCAGATGGACTCAGACCTTGGTGACTACCAAGAATCAGAATCAGAAGCAGGACAGCCCTTCCCGTGAGCACAGGGCAGTCCAAGGGTATTTTTTGCTAAGATTGACAATAATAAAGCCAGGAAACTAAGAAGGGACCAATGAGACTGGGGGGGTCCTCCGAGGAGGGGGAGGGGGAAGACAAGAGAGGAAACGTGGAAGGGGACCCTGGCAGTGGGTAGAGTGGGAACAGGGAGACCGAGAAGGAGCAAGAGTTAGGGAGAGAGCAACAAAAAATAAATATGCATGAAAACCCCACATGGAAATCCATTATTTTGTAAGGCAATTTTAAAATTGTTTTTAAATGCTGGGTATGGTGGCACATATCTCTAATCCCAGCACTCAAGAGGTTGAGGCAGGTGGATCTCTGTAATCTTGAGGCCAGCCTGGTCTACCTAACAAGTTCTAGAGCAACCAGGGCAAGACAGTGATACTCTCTGCCTCCAAGAAAAACAAACAACAACAGCAACAAAATACCCTTTTATGGTTGGTGAGTCCCTATTGCTGAAGACACCATATACTTCAGAAAGAGGGGCCCAGGACCCCTGAGCTGGAGCTGAACTGAATACCCCCTCCCTGATTCTAGCTTCCATGGTGCCAGAAGGTGCTGGCAAGCTTCCAGAGGAGGGAGATGGCCAACTGTACCCCCCAGCTACAATGCCTACGAACCACATCCGCAAACCATCATGGCACAATGGTACCCACAGATGCAGTAGTGGTACGTACCTTGGTGGTAACCAACGGCTCTCTAGTTGGACTTAAGACCTGATCACAACAAGAAAGATACTATGCCTGGTACTGGAAACCCAGCTAGCTAAATGAGTGCTGGTGAAGTCATGGTTATTGGAGGGGAATCTACAACCACTAATTTACTAAACCAGCAGAATCCCTAACAATAACCTGTAAATATTGGTTCTTATAGCCATAGATAAGGGTAGTCTTCACCCCTCATCAAGGGAACTTCTCTTTGCAACAGACAGAGCCCACTGTAGAAAAACTACAACCAATCAACACGCAGACTTATGGAGCCCAGGCCCAGTGGATACATCTACAAAGGCTCAGGAAACCAGAAGAGGGGATGGAAAGATGGGTAAGAGCCAAAGGATCAAGGAGTTTGTGTTGGTTTTAAAAATAATAAGAGGTGCTGGTTACCGTGTGAGAGAGGGCACGAGGCACGAGGCACAACAAAACCCAGTGTCAGAGCTTTATTAGGAGGAAGTGGGGACACAGAAGAGAGTAGGGCCAGGCCTGGGGCAGAGACACATGTGGATTAAGTGTGGAGTCTGTGACCGGCTTTTTTTTTTTTTTTTTTTTTTTTTTTTTTTTTTTTTTGGTTTTTCGAGACAGGGTTTCTCTGTGTAGCTTTGCGCCTTTCCTGGTACTCGCTTTGGAGACCAGGCTGGCCTCGAACTCACAGAGATCCGCCTGCCTCTGCCTCCCGAGTGCTGGGATTAAAGGCGTGCGCCACCACCGCCCGGCCTGTGACCGGCTTTTTAAGGATCTCTGCAGGTGGGCTTACGGAGCTATGTCACACATGTCCTGATTGCGTGACCACGCCACACTCATTACGTAATCACTCAGTGCACAGATGACGTAAGACCCCTTGCTTAGCTACTGAACTGCGCATGTGCGGTCATACAGCTGGAGTGGCAGAATCCTAACAGCTTGTTCTGAGATTGTGTCTCCTAGTAACATCAGCAACTACGCCCTTCACGTCTCACCAACATGACTGCCCCAAGGTGAGCTGACCAAGGAGGACACCAAGAAAGACGCCAAACTGTACATACAGGAAAAGGCCCACGCAAGGCCTTAACCCCACACAAAGAACTACAGGCAACTGGGTAAAGCTGGGGTTGGGAGAGGTGGCCCTCCCCAGGTGTGCTGACTAGTTGGTGTCAGGATAGTGGGGTATTGATGTGACAGACCTAACCATGTTGTTTTGGGGAGGACTGTGGAAGAACTCGGGAACTTTGGACCAGAAAAGCCATTGAGTGTTGAAATCTCCGTGAACTATTCCACAGGAGCCTGGAAGATGCTGAGAGCAATGTAGATGATGGAGGCCTGGCCTGTGAAGTTTCAGAGGGAAGCAGAGACCCTACCAGGCCTTTTATGTGAAGAATCTGTGGTGTCTGGTCAGCTGGAGCTGAAGAATCGGCTGTGATTAACAAGAGACCAGAACCAATAAAGTAAAACCTTGCTTTGCTGGGGTAATGGATGCTGGTCAGCTGGGGCTGAAGAATCAGCTATGATTAAAAAGAGACCAGCATCACTGAAGTGAAGTCTTCTGGCGAGTGTTTCCTCCCCAGATGCTGTGGTCCTGCTGGCAGCTGAACTTGGTAGTATAAGAGTCACCCAAGTGTTGGGTGGTGGTTGCACATGCCTTTAATCCCAGCTCTTGAGAGGCAGAGGCAGGCAGATCTCTGTGAGTTCGAGGCCAGCCTGGTGTATAGATCGAGTTCCAGGACAGCCAAAGCTACACAGAGAAACTCTGTTTGGGGGTGGGGGTGGGGCAGTCACTCAGTGGTACTGGTTTTGAAGGCATGAAAAGGGTCATGGAGAGCAGCTGAGTCTTGACACTGTGTGGCTGGGCTTGAGTCCCTGAAGAGAGCCCAGGAGAGGCTATTGGTGAAGCTGCATCCCAGTTGCAGCAAGATACTCCAGCATTTTTGGAGATGCCAGTACCATGGGATAGCCAAGAACAGCAGCAGCCGTGGAGTGGGGCCAGCTGGAACCTAGAAGACAAGCTGTGTGTGCTGCAGAGGGCAGAGCTGGAGAGGTGACCCAAGCCCCTTGGAGGAGCCCAGAAGATGGTGAGTGAATCCCAGACATTGAACATTGAGCTATTTATACTGTTGGGGTTTTGTTTCCGCTTTGTTCAGATTGTGACTGTGCCCTGGTTCTTCCCCTCTTGGAGTCAGAGAATACTTAATTTATTTTTTATTTTACAGGAACCCACCGTTGAAAGACTTTGAATTTTAAAATACTTTGGATTTTTAAGAGAGACTGGTTATTTTAAAGAGGCTGAATTTTTAAGTGTTTGAATTTTTAAAGACGATGAGATTTTTAAAATTTGGAATATTTAGGCCAGGCAGTGGTGGCGAACATCTTTTTTTTTTTTTTTTTTTTTTTTTTGGTTTTTCGAGACAGGGTTTCTCTGTGTAGCTTTGCGCCTTTCCTGGATCTCGCGCTGTAGACCAGGCTGGCCTCGAACTCACAGAGATCCGCCTGCCTCTGCCTCCCGAGTGCTGGGATTAAAGGCGTGCGCCACCACCGCCCGGCTTGTGGTGGCGAACATCTTTAATCCAGAAGAGGGATTAAATCCCAGAGAAACTTTGTCTCAACAACCGCCCCCCCCCCCCCGAAAATTAGAATGTTTATATTATAACGTTGATAGTAATTGCGACCTTGGGGAAGAACAGGAAAGGAAGGGTTATGGTTTAGCAGTCATGTGTTTGTGTGTCAAGTTTACAAGGGGTCAGTTGTGCTGACTGGTTTCATGTCAATTTGACACAAGCTAGAGTCATCTGAAAGGAGGGAACCTCAACTGAGAACACGCCTCCATAAGACCCAGCTGTAGGATATTTCTTAAAATTAGTGACTGATGGGGAAGGGCCCAGCCCATTGTGGGTGGGGGACATCCCTGGGCTGGTGGCCCTGGGTTCTATAAGAACACAAGCTGAGCCAGGCGGTGGTGGCACATGCCTTTTATCCCAGCATTCAGGAGGCAGAGGAAGGTGGATCTCTGGGAGTTCGAGGCCAGCCTGGGCTACAGAGTGAGTTCCAGGAAAGGTGCAAAGTGTCACAGAAACCCTGTCTCAAAAAAAAAAAACAAGCGGATCTCTGTGAGTTCGAGGCCAGCCTGGTCTACAGCGCGAGATCCAGGAAAGGCGCAAAGCTACACAGAGAAACCCTGTCTCGAAAAAACAAAAAAAAACAAAAAAAAAAAAACCAAACAAACAAAAAAAACCCCCACAAGTTTAGCAAGCCAGTAAGCAGCACCCCTCCATGGCCTCTGCATCAGCTCCTGCCTGCAGGTTCCTGCCCCCGTTTGAGTTCCTGCCCTCACTGCTTTTGATGATGAACTGGTATATGGAACGTGGGGGGGGGGGGGGGAATGGGATAAACCCTTGTCTCCCTAAGTTTTTTAGCTTCTTCCCCAAAATCTGTAGTTCTGGCCACAGTGGCGTGCCCTCTACCGGTTACTTAATTTTGCTCTCCCATCCTATCTCTTTCTGCCGCTCCGCTGAAACGTCTCACAGAAACAGAAAGATCACTCACAAGAACCCCGCTCTGTCTACGAGCTTCATCCTGGTGTGAAGGGCTTTTCCTGAGGGCCGATTAAAGAAAATGAGATGTGTTAAGGAGAGAAAACATGACTCTTGAAAACAAGGCGTCCGATGATGCCAGAGCACAGCAGAGGGTTCTGGGCTTCTAGAAAACCACCAGATGAGAAACCATTGCTCGGGCGGCTGCCCTGACACTGGAGCCAGCACCAGAAACCTCACCTCCCTCCCAAGACCTTGCCTTCTCTCTCGTGCAAGTCAGCACAAGCAGCAAGCACTGCTTACTTACTGACCCCAGGTCCTTCCCCTGTCCCGGAAGTGCCCCGGGGAATGGACGAGGGAATGCCTGGAGGTGATTACTGCTTGGACTCAGACTCTGAGTGAGCCCAAAGGAATGGGCCTGGCTCCCAGTTAGGACTAAGCCAAGCCCCAAAGAGGAGCTAAGTGAACACAAGGCCCTAGTGATTAACTGAGGTCTGGGCAGCCAGGAACTGAAGCGCGCACCCTCATTTACCAAGATGGCGAGCAGCTGCGCTCTCTGAAACGTGGACCACGGATCAAAAAAACCTCTTCCCTTAAGTCAAAGGGTTTTCCTGCCAAAGCAGTTTATTGTGCATGCAGAAAGGAGCAGAGTGAGGACAGATCTTTGCTTTTAAGAATTCACTGAGCCCCAGTTCGTCCTGCCCATGAGAGTGGGCCATCCACTAGAGCGTGGTTGACCTACCAGGGGTCATTTCCGTAAGGAAAACTGACTCTCCAGTCCCAGGAGCCATCAGCTGTCCATAACTCCTCAGGATGGGGGCTGGTGAGTCCTTTGTGAGTCAAGGTTTTGCATGGAGGTGTGGGAGGTAAGCTTTCAGCCAGACTGGGGCTTCCGGCTGCCTTGGTCTGCCCTAATATCGGGGAGGATTTCAGCTCTGGTTATTTGAATGCAGTAGACCTTTTTTAGCAATGGCCCATGTGTGTCCACAAAGCCCCGGATGTACACGGTGAAGTGGGGGGAGGAGCAGATGTGGTGATTCTAGAACAGGAAACTCATTAGTCAGGAAGGAAAACATACCTGTCCGACCTTCTTTAAAGCCAGTGGTTAATGTGCCAGAGTCAGAAGCATCACAACGTTGAGACCATGAAAAGGAGAGAAGACAGACAAGAAGGTTCGAGACCCCTGCAGAGAGTTTCCATGCTGGGTAAGGGGCTTTTCCTCACATTTCCCCCAATTAACAAATGGAGAAGAGCTCCTGAACCCCAGCACTCAGACTCATCACCACCATCTGCCTTGTCCAGCTTGTGGGTCCTAAGATCACCTTGCTAACTCCCCTAAGACTTTGGCATCCCACTCTTGAGGAGCTCTCCCCCACCCACCGTATCCCACCCCCATGCCCGATCCTGAATTCCTTCCTCTTTGCCCTTTTAGAGTTCCTAATCCAAGGTGGGCTGATGTGAGAAATCGACAGAGTCCACTTAAAGGGCAAAGGAATTTATCAGGGGAGAAAAATTCACTGTACAGAAGAAAATCGCCACAGGTTCTGGAACGCTGGGGCACAGTTGCTCGAGGTTCCAGCCATCTCAGTCAGTCCCGCATCCAAGCCCACCAGGGAGAAAAGAGAACTGTGCATCTCAGGCCTTAAGGGTAGTGGAGAGGCCACACCCCAGGGGCATGTACTTCAAGGTCATAGGCAGGTAGAGCAGTTACCTGCTAGTCTCTTGGGCTGCACTAGAGACACCCACTACAGTGGGCTAATGTCCTTGATCCTCAATCTAGTCTCTAAGCCTACTCACATATTTCTCACCATACCCCTCCTGGCCTCTCCTCACCCTCTTCTCAAACAGGGCACTGTTTTTCTCTCTCAACACATCGCTAGACCTGGACATGCATGAGTCAGGTGACCTGCTAAGTTTCTCTTTATTTCTCCTTCCACGCTATGTTGAATTTATGTCGTCGGGTTATATAAACCACTACTGCCTTCCCTGGTCCCCCAGAGATCATTTTTCTAGTATATTAGATCCTAGTTTTCCTCCACTCTTGGCCTTTTCACACCATTTTACTCTAGTGGTGACTTCAACATGTACATATAAATGACCCTGCCCACGTCCAACCTCGAAGTCCATTGAACTCCCCTCCACCAGTGATCACTCAGCCCATGCCTGTGACTGCCGGCAATGGCACCTCGTTCATGATCCCAGTTCTCTGTACCCGTTCTTACAGCAGCCTGTCTTTCATGTCCTCACTGCACCCCTCCTTTGGCCCCCTCAGCACGTCTCACCTCCCAGTCCCTCCACCCTTAACTGTTGTTTCCGCTCCCTTCCCAACCCAGAATCAGTTCCATGGTCAGCCATGACACCCGTGTGGCCCCAGGGCATGCCCTCAACTGTTTGTGCTCCCCTTTGTCATATCCAGCTGGCGTGAAAGCAGACTCTTGTCTGTCTCTGCCTGTGATGGTTGAATACAGCTAGAGGAAAACACAGGCCTACTTCAGGAGCTATGATGATGATGAGCTGGGTGGCCTGGTTGGTTTTATGTCAATGTGACGCAAGCTAAAGTCATCGAGAGGAGAGAAACTCAATTAAGAGAATGCCTGCATCAGATCTGGCTGTACACAACCCTGCAGGGCATTTTCTTAATTAGTGATTGATGGGGGAGGTCCCAGCACATTGTGAGTAGGGCTACCTGGGCTCTATAAGGAAACAGGGTCCTGGGTTCTAAAAGGAAACAGGCTGAGCAAGCCATGGTGAGCAAGTCAGTAAGCAGCACTCCTCCATGGCCTCTGCATCAGTTCCTGCCTCCAGGTTCCTGCCCTATGTGAGTTCCTGCCCTGACTGCTTTTAATGATGAACTGTGATATGAAACTGAGTGAAGGAAACCCTTTGCTCCCCAAGTTGCTTTTGGTCATGGTGTTTTATCACAGCCATAGTAACCCTAACTAAGACACTGGGGGTGCAGTTCAGTTAACAGAGCGTGTGCACAAAGCTCTGGCCTCAATCCTCCGCACTGCCAAAACCTAGCATGGTAGAGCATGTCTATAATCTCAGGACTCCGGAGGTAGAGGCAGGAGGATCAAAAAATCAATTTGGCTACGCGGGAAGTTTAAAGTCACCCTGGGATACATGAGACCCTGTCTGAAAAATAAATGAGTAAATAAATTTATGAGGATGAAACCCAAGCAACCCCCTCAACATTATTCAATAGTCCTTCGGAAAAAACTTTTATTATTTTATGGGTATGAATAATTGCCTGCATTTATATCTGTACCACGTACATGCCTGTTGCCCAGAGAGGCCAGAAGCCCATCAGAATCCCTGAAACCAGAGTTACAGGTGGTTATGGGCCATCATATGGATGCTGGGAATTGAATGTGGGTCCTCTGGAAGAGCAGCCAGTGCTCTTAACCACTGAGCCATCTTTCCCATGCCGTCAGTTAGATCTTTGAAAAAGAAACCCTTCTGCCATTTCCCTCTGTGCCTACTCTGAGCACATCTGGGCACATCTGGGCAGACCCAGGTCATCAGAGTCCTAGGACCATTTGGGTGAAAATAAGTTAACCGTTCTGCTTGCCTGGCCCCACCACCGACACTCTAACAGAGGTCTTCTGGAGGCCATGCCTCCCTTTTCCCACAAGAATTCCAGCCTCAAGGCTGGCTGCCAATATAGACTTTCTCTAAGACGCCACTGTTACGTAAGCAGCCTCTCTGCAGTAAGCATAAATCAAGTTAAACCATGAATGGGGAGGGCAGTCCTGTGCTACAGAGCTATGTCGTACCCTGGGCCCACAGCCCCCACAAAACCAGTACAGCACAGGGGGAAACTAAGGACCATATTGTTAGGGACCCCTACAGCAGAGGTGGGCTCATGACCTGGGACTGTGGCAACCAGCCAAAGCTAGTCTGTTTTTGTTTTTGTTTTGTTTTGTTTTTCGAAACAGGGTTTTTCTGTATAGCTTTGTGCCTTTCCTGGAACTCACCCTGTAGCCCAGGCTGGCCTCGAACTGAGATCCTCCTGCCTCTGCCTCCCGAGTTCTGGGATTAAAGGCATGCGCCACCACCATCCAGCTCCTAGTCTGACTACAATCTAAGTCCCATAGACCAGGAAGCGCCCATGTCTCCACTGGGCACCAAGGGTGTTCCAGAAGTTCCACTTGTGGTTTCTAGCTACAAACCTGGATTGATGCCCCACACTTCCCCTCTGCACCCCTACCCACCACACACACAACACACAAAAACAATAATTTTTTTAAGGGTCTTGTTACTTTGTCCTGGAACTCGTTAAATATAGACCAGATTAGCTTCAGACTTGTGGCAATCCTCTCGCCTCTGGTTCCGGAGTGCTGGGATTATAGGCATGCATCACCTTGCCTCATACAATGTTTTGTTTTGTTTTTTAAGCCCTTTCCCTCTCCTTCACGCTCCCAACATGAGGATTCCTGCTGTGTTTCTGGCTGCTTTCAAGTCTCCTCTCTTCCTCTCTGCTGGTCAGTAGCAGGGCAGCTGGCCTGGACCGCTGCTTCTGCAGCCGGGAAAGCTGTATATATAGCCCCTGCGCAGCTGCTATTTGATCCTCTGCCTTCTCCTCCTGCTCCATTTGAGCCCTCCTGAAGGAGGTTCTGATATCAAAGTCCATCAGCAGTTTCTCCCTGAGGGAGAAGAAGGGAGTGACATGGAGACCAGGGAGGGAGAGGAAATCAGAGAGTCTGGGAAGAGGAGGAGGCAGAGGCTATTTTGATCGCATCACAGATGTCTGCACAGGACAGTGCCTCCATTATCAGTGAATTCCGAGGACATTCTCAGGTCAGGGCAACGCCTGGTCAAAAAAGAAAGCTGAGCACAGCCCACAAGAAGGTCGTGCACAAAGTCAGAACGCAAGGGAATTCTCCGGGCCTCTGCCTCGGAATTGAAACATTTTAGCAGGAGCTAGGTAAAGACAGAAACATGGGATGATATTTGGGAGGTAATAAGGACGAACGGGGAAATCAAATCGGCTAACCCACACACCATGCATGTGAGTAAAGGACACCCCCCCCCCCCCAATAGGCATGTTTCCCTGTGTTGTAGGTGTTATACCAGAAAAGAAAACAAATTCAAGCTAGGTTTGGCTTTTTGGGACAGGGAGTAAGATTCATAACTTCCATATTGGCCAAGTGGTGGTGCATGCCTTTAATCCCAGCACTCAGGAGACAGAGGCAGGTGGATCTCTGTAAGTTCAAGGCCAGCCTGGTCTACAGAGTGAGTTCCAGGATGGTGGACCAGGGCTGTTACACAGAGAAACCCTATCTCAAAAAACAAAACAAGCCGGGCGGTGGTGGCGCACGCCTTTACTCCCAGCACTCGGGAGGCAGAGGCAGGCGGATCTCTGTGAGTTCGAGGCCAGCCTGGTCTCCAAAGCGAGTTCCAGGAAAGGTGCAAAGCTACACAGAGAAACCCTGTCTCGAAAAACCAAAAAAAAAAAAAAAAAGAAAAAAAGAAAAAGAAAAGAGAAAATTGTATTTCCCTAGCATCTTTGACCACAGCAATTTTTTTTTTTAATCTGGTGATCCATGAAATACAAGCACTAGTGAGCCGTGAATGTTTTTTGAGTTGAAAAGATTGGCCTCATAGTAGAATGCAAAGTGAAGAGCAGAGAAAATGACCTGGCTTTAGAAAATACAATTAGAGGTTCAAACAGGGCTTGGGGTGTGGACTGTACCAGTAGAGTGGAGGTTGTCAGTACGGGCTGAATGTAGGGTCTTAGGTTCCTTTTGTTTTGTCTTTGAGACAGGGTCTCCTGCAGTCCAGGCTGGCCTCTAAGCCTATGTAATTGATGACTTTGAACTCCTGGTCCTCCTGCCTCCACTTCTCAGGTGCTGGGACTACAGGTACAGAACCCTGTGCCTGGCTTAGGAGAATGCATTTAAGGAAACAAAGTTGCTTCACCAAGGCCCGAGTGATGGGGAAACCTGACTATCTCGGCATCTACTTCACGTTCATCTTTCTCCTTCCCATCCCCCACTCTCCCCCTCTGCCTGTCTGCCTCCCTCTCTCCAGCCCCCACCCTCGGCTTCCACATCACACAGAATGTACATGCTACGGGTCTAGCCCCATCTCTCTGCCGCTCCTTCAAGTCAGATTTCAGAATCTTGCTGAGTAGCACGGGACCCACCTAGTAACAACCAGGAAGATAGTTTTAAAATTCAGACATGACTATGGGAGACTTGGGACCCAGGAACTTTGGGGTCAAGGGAGGTGGGGGTAGATCACCAGGAAATGCTATCTGCTTTGAAGTTTGATACTTTGACTTTATTTTTTTTTAACTTTTTAATTGAAAGAAATCATATATTTTGGTAATATTTTTTCTCTGTCCCACTCCTCCCAAATCTTCCCCATTCACTTCATGTTCTTTGTCTCAGAAAAAAAAGGGCCAGGCGGTGATGGCTCACACCTTTAACCCCAGCACTCGGGAGGCAGAGGCAGGCGGATCTCTGTGAGTTCAAGGCCAGCCTGGTCTACAGAGTGAGCTCCAGGACAGCCAAAACCTACACAGAGAAACCCTGTCTTTAAAATAACAATAACAATAATAATAATAATAATACAAGAAAAAAGCACACCAGAAAACATGAGTCTGTTTTGTGTTGGCCAACTGCTCCCTAAACACGAGGCCTGCCCCGGAGTGTGCCTGATATACCCAGTGTCACTCCATTGAAGAAAACTGACTTTTCCCCTCTCCCTACAGTTATCCATTGCAAACAGCTTCTTGGTTAGAGATGGGACTTTGTGGTACTTTGATTAAATTGAAATTATACTCTGGAAGAATTGAGTGGGAACAGATAACTGGCAAATAAATGGGTATCTAGGAAGATTCGAAACAGCTTTACTAGTTGTCTGTATCTTTTTTTTCTTTCTTTTTTTTTTTTTGGTTTCTCGAGACAGGGTTTCTCTGTAGCTTTGGAGCCTGTCCTGGACTAGCTCTGTAGACCAGGCTGGCCTCAAACTCACAGAGATCTACCTGCCTCTGCCTCCTGAGTGCTGGGATTACAGGCGTGCGCCACCACCGCCCAGCTGTTGTCTGTATCTTTATCCCTTTCCCAAACACCAGTGTTCCCAAATCCTGAAAGAATCCATGGCAAAAGGAAGCAGAAGTCCAGAGTGGTTGGGAGACGAGCCCTGGGATTCAGATGCCTGTACAGTGTACTCATGTGTCCCGTAATGATGGAAAGCTTTCTGAGAAGGGCATGGTTAGTCAGTCTCACCACCGTGTGAGACTCATAAGTCGGACTAGATGGCCAGTCACCGCATCTGGTCTCATAATTGAACAACATACACAGTGAACATCACATGGATGAGCCTGCTGTGAAAAAGACCCGTCCATCATGCAGTCTTGGAAGTCAGAGCACTCTCTCGAGTTATTGCAACACCAGGAACATAGCTGTGTCTCGTTATTAACTTTATGTAGAGCACACAATGACTTGTGGTGTGCTAACACACACCTGGCAAGGTCTGCCTACACCAGCATCACCAAGACTAGGATGTCAGGAAGTGATGGGAATGCTTCAGCTCCTAGGTACCGCCCGTGTAGTGTAGCTCAGTGGTGGAGTCCTTGACTAGTCTATGCAAGGCTACGTTCGTTTCCTCTTCCTAAGGGAGAAGAGGAAGGAGTAGTGGGGGGATGGGAGAAGGCGAGATGTTTCAGCTTCCTTGTACTCTTTTTTTTTTTTTGGTTTTTTTCGAGACAGGGTTTCTCTGTGTAGCTTTGGAGCCTGTCCTGGAACTCACTCTGTAGCCCAGGCTGGCCTCAAACTCACAGAGATCCGCCTGCCTCTGCCTCCCGAGTGCTTGGATTAAAGGCGTGCGCCACCAATGCCCGGCTTCATTGTACTCTTATGAGACGCTGTCATATTTGTCCAAAACATGTTATACATGACTGTATTTAGGATCTTGACCTTGAGGATCTAGATATATTATATAATCTTCCTGTCCCTCTGTTTCCCATCTGTATTATGTATATCATGAAGATTGAATAAGAGAACATATGTAAAATGCTTATACAATGCAACATACTTTTGTTATTTTGTTTTGTGGTTGTTTTGTTTTTGTTTTTTCAAGACAAGAGTTTCTTTTTGTATCCTTGCATGTCCTGGAACTAGCTTTGTAAACCAGGCTGGCCCTGAACTCATAGAAATATGC